ATAAAAACAGTAATAGGATGTCTCAGCAAAAATAGTTGGATGATAATCTTGTGAGTAAATGTCAAATCAATAGCATTATGGTCTACTGACATTCCTTCCCTTGTGGTACTGCTAGTTCAGTTAACAATCTAAAATAGGACCAACTAATAAGCATAACCAGGAAAGCCTTGCTATTGATGTCTAATTGAGTTCCTTTGCAGACATTTAGGTCCAGGCAAAAAGAAAGGACCGACCTCCTCTACGTCTGTGGCCTTAACGACACCCTCTTACAACTAGATTCACAGTGCTTTCCATTCTTTCCTCCTCTCTAGTTTCACATTGGATTGCCTCATTATATCATTTTTACAGTCATACAAAGACACTTGCATCTCAGAAAGTGGTAGTGCCCTTGATTATTTTTAAATCACTGTTCAACAGCCTCGGTTGAAACTTTAATTTTATATATGCATAGTGGATAAAAAGAGCTGAAGGTCTTCCCAGACAATAAACATGATATGTACCACCTTTCACAGGCCACGGATGCAGCTTCCATCTCTCCCCGGAAGCACATGAGAGGCGCTGTGCTTGCTGGCTGCTGCTGGCTGCTCTGGCCATGGGACATCTCATTGGCTTTGGCTTAAAATTTGAAAAAAAAAAAAAAAACCTCGGAGTCCGAATTCTCATAAGAAACTCTGTATTTTCCTAATGCAATCAGGAAGAATAACAGTAATCTATAACTAAAAAGCTAGAAAAACTTAGGATAACCATTTTACATGCTTTGAAATAGTAATGCTACTTTTTTCTGAAATAACAAACATTTGAATAACCAAAACCTAAAATGTATTTATTTTTAAATGATATCAAAAATTTTTGTCTATACTGACAATTTTTACATATTATTTTGTGCAGTTGGGTTTTATTTTTTACATTCATTCTATATAATAAGTTTGTAATAAAGATATTTATTTCACAATATTTGTCTCTCCCACCACATATCCACTCTACAAGTGTTATATTTCCTCAGTACAATGCCCACCACATGGCTTAATATCCCCTATTACTATATTTTAGTAACAAACTCACATTCAATTGACAATTTTGTTGGTATATACTTCAAAATGAAATTTTAAAAATAAGCCATTTTGATGCAAAACAATAAGTTGTTTTCTTCATAATATTTATTTTCTGTGAATTTCTGAGCACCTTTTTATGCATGCATTTCAGAATTTTGCATCAGGGACTGGCACAATGGCTCAACTGGCTAATGCTCTCTGGGGCTCAGGGGCAAAGAGGTCACTAAGTCAATAAGATGGCGACCAACAGTGCAGGTCACTGGCAGACAGCATGGTGACCAAGGACGGAGCCCTGGGCATGAACCAGGGGCAGGAGTCACTTGGCTTCAAAGAAAGACTGATTGGCCAGGGCCATTGCACTCACCTACCCCTGGCCAATGGCAGGTGACTTCTGCAGTCATGCTCCTAGTAATTGGCTCCTAGTTTCTCCCTTCCTGGAATTCCTGAAATTCCTGGCCTGAGCCTATCCCTTACCCTATATAAGAATCTGAATATCCCCAGTAAATCGGAACTGCTTAGACAGAACCCCTGTCCTTCTATTTGTCTCTCACGAGCTGGGAAGCTGGGTGGCGGCCAGCAGGCTCTTCCCCTCCGGCAAGGAGGTACTAGAGGAATCTGTGGGGGAGACCCCGCAATGCTCCAACTCCAAGTGACATCATCCCATATGGGAACCAGTTCATGTCCTGGCTGCTCCATGTCCCATCCAACTCCCTGCAGCGGGTCTGGAAAAGCAGTAGAGCATGGTCCAGGGTCTTGGGGCCCTGCACCACTGTTGGAAAACTGGAAGAGGCTTCTTATTCCTGGTTTCAGATTGGCTCAGCTCCAGTAATCACAGCATTTGGCGAGTGAATCAGCAGATGAAAGATCTTTCACTCTCTGTTCTGTAAAATCTAACTTTTCAATAAAAACAAATCTTTAAGATATTCTGCATCTGAATAAATGCATTTTAATTCATTTTTCCATAAAATGTTGAAGTATCTCTATATTCCATTCTCAGAATGTCAGATCATGTCACTTCTTTGCTCAACAGTTTTCTAACTATTAGATTAATTAAAGTTATTGAATTGCCAATCTGGGCTCTATTTATCTGCACCTTGAACCCAAGGTTCACTGCCCTTAGGTTCTTTCAAGAATCCCTGGCCTCTATGATGCATAATTTGGCTGGATGTATAAATGCCAGGCACCCAGCTGGTGCTTCCTGTACATCCCAATTAAATGATGCTGTAATACGGCCTCACTTACCACCATATTTACACATACAGTCAGCTCACTTGCTTCTTAACTCTTTACTGCATTCATAAATCACTATTCTATAGGGTACATGTTAACATGATTAGCATTCTACTAGTTTATTCCCTTGTGATCTTGCTATTTACTATTGAGTATATACGGGGCTATAATTTGTGCTTTATTTATTGTAATATTGCCAATTGTTAAACTATTTGCTGGTAGTTGCAAAGCATACTGTTTATTTTAGTGAATATGAAATAATGAAGGAATGTTCTCTGAAGTATATATATTGGTCATGGTAATTGTACCAGAAATGATGGCAATTGCTAGAATCATAAATTAGTTTGAGAAATCTCGATTATATGTACTTTCTTGTGTAAGCATCATAAAAAGAGTAAAACAATCACATTTAAATTTTACTAATACAGCTTTTATAAGTTGCAATTTTCGAAATCTTTAAGTAGATCTGAGAACACTAAATAGGTAATATATATATATATTTTTGAATACTGAATGAAATAATGGACTTTCCCTAATTAAAACATCTTTTACCAGTTTCCTATCCATAGCCTTCAATGTTTTTGCATTTTATGTTTGCAATATCTACCTTATGCTGGTCACTAGTTTGTCACTGGATATCAATATACAAGTTACTATTCTTCCTACTTTTGTAATGTATATATTCACTGGGGAGATATCTACATAGCAAAAAGCTGCCCTCAAATAATGGGGATAATAAAAAATGGATATAATAAAAGCATATGGCTCAAAAGAAAGAAACTAAATCTTAGAGAATGCCTTACACATACCCAAGCTCTAGAATTGGTTAAAAAAATTATCTAGAGAAAAGAACATTATAAGCAAATATACAAAGTCCTAAAAATTACTGTGAGAACATGTGACCAATGGTATAAGATCAGAAGGTCAAGGGAAAACCAGATGAGGAAGAGGGGAAATGAGAAGATTGGAGAGTATAGATAGGTTTGTATTCCACACTGAAAAGCAGGTCTTGGATCCCAGAGTCAGTGATGCCAGACGGGGTAGAGGGCTGTACACATACTTCAGAAAGACAATAATGTGAAATAGGCAAAGGATAGATTTTTCATAAATGATGGTCATATTAAATACTTGGGAAATCGAAATTGTACATAATTTAAGATCAGATTTTCTCCTTAGTTACACTATTCCTATTAGTCACAAATCTTTCATTATGTTCAATTCTACAAGTAACCCTCATCTGTAAATTTTCTGGCTATTGGCAAAAAACTGCCTTAAAATGTTCGCCTATAAAATAGTATTAAAATCTGTTTACTTTCCACTAAAGCGTTATTGTAACTTGTAAATTATATTAACCAAATATACTAATTACACATACATTTGTATAAAATAAATTTTTAAAACAGGTAAGAAAGCTACTGTTATTTTCATTCAGAAAATTATAATGAATAATGAGTCTAATTAAACACCATTGTTTTGCACTAAAAGGGAAATAGGTGAGGGTTCAGAAACATGTGTGGCATAAGTGTCGCTGATACTGGTAAGTTACTGAACCAGTTGCCCAGAGTGGGAAGGGAGGAGGTCTGGGCAGGTGCTGAAGGCAGAGTACTAGCTGACGGAGCCTGACACGCTTTAGACAGATTTCTAGATTTTGTCTGGGCAAGTCACAATAGCATTTAATGAAATCTAAAATACAGGTTTTAATACTGTACGAAGCTCAGCTGTACCTCTTCTTTTTATCAAATATTTAGTCAGTGCCCGTTGTATATGCACTGATACTACCCTCTGTGGATAGAAAAACAGAGATGCCATGTGCACTTACAAAGCTTAAATCCTAATGAATATTTAAAAAAATGATGGAAAACCAACTAAGAGATGGAAAATAGATCATATACCGTGAGGACCAAGGAAATATAACCACTGAAATTTCCTTAAGATATGTCATTTAAAAACAAATCTGAGATAAGAAGAAAAAAAGTGAAGTGTGTTGCAGCTGGCAGGATGAGTATAGGTCAAAATTACATGCGTTGCTGAATAAGGTATCTTTTTTTTTTTTTTTTTTTGCTGTTTTAAATCCTTGGAAAAATTATAGCAGGAACTTAATCAATATTCTTTATATGCTTAAAAAGCCCCTTTTATTGCATGTAACGTAAAATGTATTAGTGAGTCTAGTTTTTTGTTTGTTCCATTTTGCTTTTGTTTGTTTTCTGCAGAACATCAAATAGGAGAAAGTGGAAGATTGGAACAACATGGATATTAAATGGAGTGCAAACTAAATCAAAGAATTGTAATACATATTTTAGAGTTAAGATGCTGTTTCTGCAACACCTCCGAAGATCACATTTTTCTGATGACAAAAATCTCAGAATGTTCCTTTTTAAAATGTGTATATGGTGGCAAGAAAAAAGGACTAGGAGTCTAACCTAAAGGCTCAACTGGGGAAGAATCTGTCTTTGCTGAATTTTGGCTAGGTCACTCTTCTGTTCCTGATTTTGTAGGATATTCATATAACTGAGACACAACTATTCTCATCAGAGCAAAAAGATGAAATGGTTTTGGGAGAGGCAGAGATAAAGGCTGGAGGGAGGGAGATATGAAGGTGACCCAGAGGTATTACCTGTCGATCTCTCTATCCATTTATTTATGATGCAGTTCCATAAACTATGGGATTCCCACAGATTTCCCTCATATTTCCACAACAGCATAGTGCTTTATAAACTGTCATAAGCCAATCATCCTGCTAATTAAGTGTATTCTGAGATTGTAGGCATGGGCAATGACCAAAGGTCCAGCATCCTATTGTCAAGATATATTTCATAGCCTCATTTGGAAGTAGAGATGCATACTGCATCTACAAAGCTGTTTAGGATAATCTCAATCACACAGTTACTACACATTCCCATACACGGAAAGCCATAAAACAAAGTTAACAACAGGAAGAAAAATACAAAATTTACAACAACATGCATGAAGTTAAATAACCTGCTACTGAATGAACAATGTGTCACTGAAGAAATAAAAAAGAAAAGTAACCTTGTTGAAGCAAATGATGCTACTGTGTGGCCTATGAGTCAGTGAGGAAATTAATAAGGAAAAAAAAACACTTTTTTAAGGAATGAAAATAAAAAACAAAAATATCACAATCCATGAGATTTAGTAAAAAGAATATTGAGATGGGTATTAATCTTGCATCTTGGATGAAGGTTGTCATATATCAGAGAAAACATATGATATTTGTCCTTCTGGGGTTGATTTATTTCACTGAGCGTAATAGTCTCTAGTTGGGACCATTTGGTTGTACACGGTAGAATTTTATTCTCTTTAACGGCTGAGTAATATTCCATGGAGTAGATGTACCACAGTTTCTTTATCTATTCCTGTTTGGAGGGGCATCAAAGTTGGTTCCATATCTTTGCTTTTGCATATTGGGTGCTATGAATATAGGATTACAGGTCCCTTTCTCATATGAAGATTCCATTTCCTTTCGATATATTCCCATCTGTAGGATAACTGGATCATACAGCAGGTCAATTTTCAGTTCTCTTAGCACTCTCCATACTGATTTCATAGTGGTTGAACTAGTCTACACTCCCACCAACTGAACATCCTGGTCTCTTCAATAAATACAATTGGGACAATTGGATAGCAGCCTGCAAATGTAAGAAGCAAGACCCTCCATCTGTCACTTCATGAAAAAAAATCAGCTCCAAATGGGTCATGGATCTGATTTTGCACTCAGAAACCATCAAACTATTAACAGAAAAGATAAAAAGCAATCTGCATGAAATAGGAATTAGGAAAAACTTCTTTGAAAAGTAACTAAAAGTACAGGCACTCAAAGCCAAAATAAACAAATGGAACAACAGTCAAGTTGAGCAGCTTCTATACAGCAAAGGAGATGAGCAACAGAAACAAACAACTGAATAGGAGAAAATCTTTGTACGCTACACAACAGATAAGGAACTAATATCCAGGATTTAGAGAGCTTCAGAAAGTAAATGACAGCAAAACAGTCAATCCTGTGAAGAAATGGGTAAAGATAATGAATAGACATTTTTTCAAAAACACAAATTCAAATGACTAATAGCCATGAAAAAAAATTGCTCAGCTTCCCCAGCTGTCAGAGAAATACAAATGAAAACCACATTGAATTCCACCTAACTCCAGTGAGACTGGCTTACATTCAGAACTCTACTAACAACACCTGCTGGTGTGTATGTGGGAATAAAGGTCCCCTCCTGCATTATACTTTTTGAAGGAAAGTCCTAGTTAACTCATTTTTTGATCACAAAACTTTATGCAATGTGTGGTACACAGCAGGTGCTCAGTAGTGGCTTATGTGACATAATTGTTCAAACGCAAGTAAATTATTTTACTTTTTTGTCTAGTTTTGTTCATGTATTTATTATTTTATTAAAAAGTCACATATATATAGAGAGAGAGAAGAAGACCTTCTGTCCGATGATTCACTCCCTAAGTGACCACAATGGCCAGAGCTGCACCAATCTGAGGCCAGGAGTCAGGAGCTCTTCAAGGTCTCACACACAGGTGCAGGGTCCCAAGGCTTTGGGCCGTCCTTGACTGCTTTCCCAGGCCACAAACGGAGCTGGATGGAAAGCGGGCTGCCAGGATTAGAACCGGTGCCCGTTCGGGATCCCAGTGCATAGAAGGTGAGGACTTTAGCCACTAGGCTACTGCGCTGGGCCCTCTTCTGTTATTTTTCTAAGCTACCATCTTAACCTCTTATCATGCATTACTTTTATTACAACAACTTCATATTTATTTTCTAAATCCCAGAGTTGAATTTTCTGTCACTCTACCTCTTGGCAAGACATTAGACAAAAGTGTTGTTAGTGATGTGACAAAAACAGTATTTATTGCTATGAAATCATTTATAAGGGTGTAGACTTCAGATTTAGTGAGTTATCTAGTGAGCAGATTTGAGAGTTGTAGCAGTTTTGTAAAAAAAAAAAAAAGAGGAATGATATTCTAAAGTTTTTTTTTCAAATGTATTATTACATATAAATTATATCAAATATTGATATTGTGAAAGAACAAAACTTATTAGTTCCCAGGTTTTTTTTCCTCTTCTTTCTACTTCTGCTGCCTCTTATTTTCATCCTTATCTTTTTTTTTGGCGGGGCGTGGGGGGGGGGGCGGCAAGAATGTGGCATGGCTTCCCTCATCTTTTGGCTTCCTATTGCTCAAAGGAAAAACACCTGCCCGGCCATCAGATCAAACCGACACTGTACTGGGCAAGGCAGCACTTAAGACATCTTAGTTGCCAGGATTCACCTTTGCGTAGGCCTATGGCCTGAGGGTCTCAGCTCCTCATCTGTTGCTACCAGAGTCCACTCCCAGATCACTGCCATATAGGACTCCCCACTGGGCCTGGCACAACAGCATAGCAGTTAAAGTCCTCGCCTTGAGTGCGCCGGGATCCCATATGGATGCAGGTTCTAATCCCAGCTGCTCCATTTCCCATCCAGCTCCCTGCTTGTGACCTGGGAAAGCAGTCAAGGACGGCCCAAAGCCTTGGGACCCTGCACCCGTGTGGGAGACCCAGAAGAGCTCCCGGCTCCTGGCTTCAGATTGGCACAGCTCCAGGCATTGCAGCCGCTTGGGGAATGAACCATCGAATGGAAGATCTTCCTCTCTGTCTCTCCTCCTCTCTCTATACCCACCTTTCCAATAAAAATAAGGAAATCTTAAAAAAAAAAAAAAGACTCTTCATAATGCACCTTGAAACATGGCAGCTAGCTTCACAGAACAAGGAAAAGAAGAACAAGAGGGAATATTAGCAGGAGGGAAACGGCGATCCTTGCAAGAGCAGGTGTGATATTCCTTCATGCCGTCCATATCTTATTCCTTATAACTGAGTCTTTCGGTCCACTCTATCTTTACACAGAATGGATCCTACAATGGTATGTGTACCAGCAGGAGAATTTCGTTGGGAACCTATACCACATGCAGTAACCATCTGTGAACATGCCATACCTTTCTCTTCAACTTCAACCATAACATTTGATAGCTAAATCATGTGCTTTTATTACAAACAATTTGTATGATCTTAAGCTGTAACAAATTTTGTTTTCACGTCTGTGTACGTATTATGCCGGAATAACAAAAATATTCACTCAAAATATGCTTATTAAATGGCTACTATACATAGAAAATCGTAGCACTTTGGTATTTCCAAAGTAAATCAAGCCTTGAGGAGAAACATAATTTCTGCCAATTTTAAAGTATGATTTTAATTAACTTCAATTTACTCTAGAAGTGACCTTTTATGTCTTTTTCCTGAGTGCTTTTATACAAAATAATTTTTGTATTACGTGCACTTCAATTATGCTACCAGGTTACTTGTGTGTTGGATTTTTCAGAATGAGCTAGAACAAATACCCTCTCTTGAAACTTCATTATTGCACTTAATTTTGTTGCTCCTATTAATATTTTGTTTACTCCATAAAATTGGCTGTAATTCTTTAGATCCCTGTTTATAATAATGCAGAAATCCAGACATTTATGGTAAGAACAGTAAAATAAACTAAACCAGTATATATTCATTTTTAATACAACTGTATCATTTAATACAACTGATTGTACATTAGTTTGCATTAAACCTAAACCTAAAGCCCTTCCAGTAGTTGTTCCCCACCCCCCCACTAATCCCAGATGTTCCATAAATTAATTGTAAAAATACTGAGCGCACAACTGTAGATGGAATTCCACTGCTTTAAGACAGATCAACATGATGCATTAGGTTCCTTGAAGTCGGTTTGTAAACTTGGTTGTGTATTTAAAAAAAAAAGGCAGCTTAATCTGATCAAGGATTCTCAGAGGTTTACTGTGAGAACCACCTTGCCTTTGCCACAATAGAAAGGGCAGAGGATAGGAGGCAGAGGGCAGAAGACAGGACCCATTAGCAGTACAGAGGAATAAGGCTACCTTGGGATTCAAAGTCTAAAGTCTGATGATTAATGAGCTCAAGGTGAGAGAGCCAAAAAACAAGCAAATCAATAGATTTATTAGGGGCAGCTACATAACTCCTAAGGGCTTTACTACATTTAAATAAAATTTTAAATAAGTACACTGATGAGAAGGTTGTAGCATCAATCCTCTTTACTTGTTTGATAAAACTATTCCAACAGACAATGTGGAAAATATTGATTCGTGTCATGGAAGCATCAACATTGTCAAATGGACCATTACGCAAAGGTAAAAGGTCAAGTTTAGCTGTTCAGCAGATACAAGATGCCAATTTGTAATATCCCTGAGATTAGAGAGAAAACATAAGAGTAAAACCTAGTTTCAGGTATGAAAGTGCAAATATTTTAAACTTTACTCATTTTGCCGATGTATCCACTTAGTCCTAGATTAAACAAAACTATTGCTATTTTCTATCACGAGACATTTAGCAATGTCTGGGAACATTTTGGTTGCAACTGTGGCTGTGCATGAGGAATCTAACAGGTAGAAGACAAAGTCTCCTATTATCTGTGAGGATAGGTGACAGTCCCCAGCATGAAAAATGCTCACAATTCCAAGGTGCAAACTATCAACAGTGCCAAAGGTGGAAAACCATGAGCAAAGCAAAGGATGGGTGCCACAAAAAGAGATGGATCTCGCATGGAAAAAGTAGTGTCTACATCCCTTCCCCCAAAGCCACTCCGGAGAAAGGTGAGGATAAAGCAGTAGTGTTTCATGCAGGAACACAGCAAATGTAAGGGGTGAACTATGACTGTCTTTCGATTTCAGCACTAGAAAGGAAGCCCTACGGATTTGTCCTGAGAACATGCAGTACAGACCAAAGAAGCACTCAGGTACTCCACTACAGTGCTACATTTCAGAAGGTAGCATGAGGATAAGCCATGCTAAGGATAAGCCAAAGGCCAATAGGGAACTGAGAGACAGTGGAGAAGCCACCTCAAAAAGCATCACCAAAGGCAGAGAGGGGTCACTGCTGATGCACACACATGCACTGCCCATGAAAAGCTGAGACATGACCAACTGCCTGCCAACACACACAGTAACACGGAGGTAAACCAGCAGCAACTGTGAGGTGATAAAGCCATGAGGGTTCCTTCCCAATGACTAGGATTCACACCTTTGGAAAAGGGTTGTGGGTTGAAGGCAGCCTTCAGAGCCCTTCTGTTGCAAGTGCCAGATAAGCACTCAGCATGCACCACTCCAGAGGATCAAACATTCAGGTGGCACCTAGAAGTAGAGAGAAACCCTCAGCAGGACTGATCCTGCTGTAGCAGCCTGGGGCTCTCTGCAGCTCCCCGGGACTTCTGTGATGGAGATTTCTGTTACAGATCATGCCACACGTGTGTTGGTGCAACACAAAGCAAGTACAACCGAGCCCTCTCCTTCCCACACCACCGCATACATTCTATGCAACCCACTTCCATCAAGAATTGATATAAATGTTCACAAGTTCAAAAATAGGACATGAAAGAAAAAAGTGAGGAATGCTCTTAAGAAGCAAGGCTATGATGGTATTCTTTGGAGAGTCACCAGAAGCCCTAATGTGGCTACACTCTTAAGAAGCGGCCTAAAAATTTGCTCAATGGAATTAAATCTACTTGAAAGCATATACGGTAAGTCATCGGACAGATGCTCAAAAATTAAGCAAGAAAACTTCTATTTTTTACACCTTTGTTAAATGGACTGCTGTAACTGTGAAATACCTTATCTTTTATCACATTTCTGGTGTCTTTTATTTCCTGACATTGAATAGCGAATGCTGAGAGGCAGGACCTTCAATATGACTGGCCATTACCTTCCCTTTCCTTTACAGTTTCATTTCTGGAAGTCGTATCCTTTCAGCACGCGGAGGCCAGCTGCCAATGATTTACATTTTGGCATCACCCTCCCCTTCTCCTTGACTCTTATTCTTTTTTTTTTTTTATTTTTTTTTAGTGTCAACTTAAACGTCTCTTCCACATGGAAACGTTCCCTGATCACTCCAGATTAGGTTAAAAGCTGCTGAAATATATCTTCACAGCACTTAACACACTCAACTGCGATTATTAAATTATTCATTTTCTTAGAGAGCAAGGTCAGTGTTGATGGTTTGCCACTGCCACTCTGGTGCCTAGCATAATAGTTAACACATTGCAGGCATTAACAAATACAGACTCATCTAACTAATTAAAATCTGTTAATGTCTGCAAACCTAGTCTAGCTTTAATAGAAAATTAAAATTGCTAAACTTCATCATTTTTTTTCACATTGAAAAGCCTTATTTATGCAACATACCTGGGTATCACTTGTGAAAATCGCTAGGTCTCGGGACTAGCCCCAGGCTGTAGTAGGCTAAGCCTTCTCTGCCATGCCAGTATTCCATATGGTCATTGATTTGTGTCTTGATGGCTGCTGCACTTCCGATCCAGCTTATGGCCTGGGAAAACAGTGGAAAATGCCCCTGCCCCCATGTAGGGGAACAGGAAAGGGCTCCAGGCTCCTGGCTTAGGATCAACTCAGCTCCAGTTTTTGCAGGCATTTGAAGAGTGAACCTGCAGATCTCTCTAACTTCCCCTCTCCCTCCCTTTTCCCTGACATTCCTTGTCTCTGTAGCCCTTACAATTAAAAGTAAAATAAATGTTAACAAAGAAGAAAATTATTAGTTCTTAATAAGCAATATTGACAGGTAAGTGTTCCGGTTCAGCCTGGGTCCTTAAATCTGCATAAGAGATCTGTTTTGAGTTCTAGATTCCTAGTTGTTGCAGGCATCTGGGGAATGGACAGGGCAGTGGAAGCGACTGTCTTTCTTGCTCTTGCTTTCACTCTTGCTTTCCTTCAGCAAACAGATGAGAATAACTAAATATATATTTTAAAAGAATCAACTTTGAAATTTTGTTACTTCCTACTTCCTGAATGTAACAATTGGGACCTGTGGCACATAGGAAGAAAAATGATGTTAGATATTTGTGCTGGAAGTCTCGGGGGCAGGGGCCTTCCTGTGATTTGCCCCATTCTTATGTAGGTAGTATGGCTTTTCAACTTTCATTCCCCTTTTGTGCCATGCTTCAGCCATGCTGGCATACCTGTCACATAATTTGCAACTATTAGATATACTTATTTATTTAAAAACAAAGATACAGTGAGATGAAAACACAGAGATTGAAAAGGGAATGGAGAGGCAGAGAAGAATGGGAAAAAGGTAAAAAGAGAAAGAGAGAGAGGGAACTATCTCCATCCATTCATTCACTCTCCAAATGACTGCAATGCCCAGGGAAGCGTCAGGCTAAAGGCAGCCATCCAGGTCTCTATTCTGGTCCTCTACTTGGGTGGAAGTAACAGCAGCAAGTAAGCTATCCTCCACTGCCTTCCCCGGCACAGGGATCAGGAAGGTGATTCAGAAGTGGAGCATCAAGGAGTCAAACCGTCATGCTGATGTGAAGTGAGCAGATTGCAAGAAGTATCTGAAGCCGCTCTACAATACCAGCCCCAAACTGCGCTGGTTCATCCCTTTGCTGTCTAACAATTCAGCCAATGTGCATCACTTCCCTTCATAACACTCTATTCCTTAATTACTTGACAAACATGGAGTGAGCCCCTGCTAAGTTGCATTTACAGCAGGAGGTTTTGGGAAACATGAGCACTAAAGGTACAGTGTTACTCATCAGAAGCTGTGAAGTCTTAGAAAGGACAATGTACTGTTAAATAAATGCTCAGAGATAATGTGACAAATGCAGAAGTGGGCAGGGCATGCAATGGAGGGCAGAGAATGTTCTGAAATGCTAAACAGATTTTGAAACAGATTCAAGAGCATAGCAACTGAACTGAGACTTACAGGAGAACCAGGGATGGATAAATCTATGAAGAAACAGACATAATTGTAAAATATTTGTGTCACTAGTAAAATATTTGGAGAAACTACAAACATAAGTGAATACTGCTTGGCAGTGAACAGTGCAGGTTTGGGGACACAAGTGTGAATGTGGATTTCAACTTTGCAGCTGCACATTCCCTGTGTGAATCCCCAAATCTGTCTCATACTCAAGTTCTTCACACCATGTCATAAAATTGAGAACATACAACACCATGGTCTTATTAAGCATAACATGACAGCTCACAAATAGAGGTGTTTTTGTTGCTGCTGTTGTTTATGACATTGTGGAGGTGATTGTACTAGTGAGGGGATAGTCTATGATGAGGTGTATTGTTAGAAGGGTAGATAGGGCTCAACATGTCGGCCTAGTGGCTAAAGTCCTCTCTTTGACCATGCCGAGATCCCATATGGGCATCGGTTTGTTTTCTGGCAGCCCTGCTTTCCATCCAACTCCATGCTTGTGGTCTGGGCAAGCAGTCAAGGACAGCCCAAAGCCTCGGGACCCTGCACCCACATTGGGAGATCTGGAGGAAGTCCCTGGCACCTGGCTTCGGATCGGTGCAGCACTGGCCACTGCGGTCACTTGGGGAGTGAATCATCGGGTAAAAGACCTTCCTCTCTGTCTCACCTCCTTTCTGTATATCTGACTTTGCAATGAAAAGAGATAAATCTTTTTTTTTTAAAGGTAGATATCTGCAGGTTAAAGGCTAGGCATCCCATATTCATTGGATTAAGTAGTCCCCAGTGGCTGCCCATGTCCTAATTCCCACAAGCTATAAATAAACAGGTCTGTGTGACCAAAAGGATATTGTGCAGATGGATAAGTTAGTGATTTTGAGTTGAGGAGACCATAGTGGATCACATAGTGATGAATGTAGTTGAAAAGTTAGTAGGGAAAGAAGGAGGCCAAGTGAAAATCAGAGATAGTGTGATGAAAGCAGAAGTCACAGAAAAGGATTGAAGGTGTTTACTGGCACAGAGA